AGCTTTCATTGCTAAATGAAATCTGCTGACATTGATGAGTACTTGTAACACGGGGCCAGCACATTCTTATAAAATATTAATACTAACTAGTTACTTCATAAACGTACATCCAATCATACTTTCAAGTCGAAGACCATATAAAAGTCTTTATTGCTATTCGCATATATTGTGTGCTTCAAGTTGCTTGAAGTTGTAATAATTAAACAAAAAGTTAAACTTAATATTCAAATTCATTGATTGAAAATCATACTCAAAACAATTAGTTTATTAAACAATGATTTTTTTGAAACCACTTACTATATCCCAAAGTTTAAAAAATGTAAATAACAAAAAATCAACTTAAATAAGATTTAAATTTAAAAAATGTTAAAGGGAGCAGAGGTGCTCGCAGGCAAATGCATTTTAAGAATCATAAAATAAAAAAAAAAGTTCAACTTGATAAGCGGACACAAAAATAGAAAACCAAATAAGGATCTTTTTATTCTAAGGGTCCCACTTAACCCTCTATTAGTCGCGCGCCAAACGGGGGGATTAAACTAGCTCCCCCCATACTGCCCAACTCGCGCGACTATGCTGTTAAAACAGAGGGTTAAATAAGTCATGAAAAGGTTAGTACACCTAAGGACTATGGATAGTTGAAGCTGTGGTGATGATAATAGGCTAGCGGTAGTATACTATCATACCGGGTCGAGTGCATTGCAATGATCTTTTCCTACTAACTACCAAGGTATTCGATATTGTATAAGCATAACAATCAAAGAAAATATTTAAATATTACCAAGAGAAATTAGAACATAATTAAATATCATAATTTGTATCCACAGTTTTAAAGATAGTCGGCTAGCGTTGTACCAGTACTTATAATTAATAATAACTTAAATATAGTCAACACTAATTAGTGATTTGTCACCAAAAATTATAAAAACTGATTTAAAAATTCTCATGTATCAAAAAATTTAACACAATAATAATTAAAGGAGCACACAACACAAAAAATAAGTTTTTTTTATTTGAAAGAATGTTCAATTCTAAGGATAATGGTATAGGTTTTACGTTTCTACTCACATTATTCAATAAGTTATGAGCAATTGAAAAAAGACGTGTGACGTCACTGGGCCGGAGTCATCGTAATTGCCTATCTTATACGTGTAAAAGTTCCTCGCTTCACACAACGATTTATCAACCTAAACATTTTATTTTTGCAATTTAATTTGCATGTTAAAATGTGGTTTTATGTGTTTAAGACGATGCAAGTATCAGAATCGCAATACGATGTTTAGTTTTTTAAATATTAAAAATCTTAAAACAGACATTTTGGTTAAACCGCACGTCTTGGCGAGCGGCGCGTGGGGTTCGAACAACGGGTCCGCCGTTTAACCAAAATGTCTGTTTTAAGATTTTTAATACTTAAAAAACTAAACGTCATATTGAAATTCTGATTCTTGCATCGTCTTAAACACATAAAACCACACATTTATACGTCAATTAAATTTTAAAAAGAAAATATTTAGGTTGATAAATCGTTGTGTAAAGCAAGGAACTTTTACACGTATAAGATAGGCAATTACGATGACTCCGGCCCAGTGACGTCACGCGGCTATTCTACATCTCTTAATATCTCTTAAAGTAATATTTTTTTTAACATCGTATCTTCACAAAATCATTTCATATAACCATAACTACAATAATTTAACATTTAAAAAAAATTTAAAGAATTTTTTTATTTGTGTTGTGTGCTCCTTTAAGAAATAATGAGAGTTGACGGTATGAGGAGTTATTGTAAGGTTTTCAGTATTTATTTATTCATGAGCTTTAATTCAAAATATGGTTTAGTGAATTAAAATTATATTGTCTTAGAAATCCCAATATTCTTTCCACATTGCACTTAATCTATTTTTTCCAACACATTTACTAAGAACAAAATAAAAATAAAAATATTATTATACTTGAATTTTTTGTATACTTTTTCAAAATGTATGCTAGTTACAGTTTGAAACGCAATATAATTTTAAATCAACATGAAATTATTTAAGTAAAAAATAGCTTTAACTTAAACAAAACTTAGAAATCGTTCACTTTAATTTCTTGTATCCATAACAACTTTCATTCAATGAACCCATTATTTTATTGTACTGAGGTAAAGTCGATAAAACTCTGATCATATTTTTTCACTTTTTTCCTTAAATTTTTTTTTTCTCAAAATTCATTTGCCTGCGGGCGCCCATGCCCCCTTCCCATTTTTATTTTTAGAATTGAATTCTATTTAATTTTTTTATAATTTTTTTTATTTGATTCCTTAAACTCATTTGCCTGCGGGCGCCCATACCCCCCTCCCATTTTTTTAAAAATTAATATTCTATCATATTTTTTTATAATTTTTTTTCATTTTGATTATTAAAATGCATTTGCCTGCGGGCGCCCATGTCCCCCTTCCCATTTTTATTTTTAGAATTGAATTCTATTTAATTTTTCATAATTTTTCTTATTTGATTCCGTAAACACATTTGCCTGCGGGCGCCCATGCCCCCTTTCCCATTTTTATTTCTATACTTTAATTCAATCTTTCATTCACATTTTTTAAATTTTAACAACCATCTGGTTCCTTAAAATATTCATTTTCTCATGATATAATTATTGTAAATAACGCTATGAGTTTAGGAATACTGATATTGTAGACCTTTAAAAAAAGGATGGATAAAATAATACAGGATGATTGTTGGGATTGATTAGATGATTTTCTTTTAGACCACAATTTTGCAGATTCCACAGTGTTCGATTGCATTGTTTATTTTTTGGCTGGGTAATTCAAATATACAATGATAATATTTTTAATACAATAGTTACCTATAGGTACCTGATTTCTAAAATTAATTGCCTTAATAGATATATTGCTGGAAGATTAGTTAATACAACTAATCGTGAAATGTGCATTGAAAGTTTAAAATGTTTGAACACATCAGAACTCAGAAGGTCATATTGGGAAAGAAGTAGATTTAATACAAGCTAAAACAAAGAGATATCTTACTTACCCAGATAGTAACTTGTATAAAATTATAAAGCAGCTGGAAGAATGTTTTGCTTTAAATGTAAGTTCAAATGATGTCTTTGAAAATATCTGTAGGTAACTAGTTCTTCACAAGGAATTTAAATATTAAATTCAATTGCACCATTCGTGAACACCAAAAAGAAATGCTAACCAATATATTTTCTTAGTAGGTACATTACGATGAGCATGAGGCAATACACCTTTATGCAAAATCAGGCAAATAAAAAAACAGTGCCGAAAAAAAAAAATATCAAAATTGGTTAAATCATAATTAGGTTGGTAAAAATTAGCTGATAAATTTGTAAAATGTTTAAATGTGTATAAAATATTTAATTCATAAAAAAATATATTGGTTGTAACTTGTATTATAGCTTAATTATTGTAATAAAATAATAAAATCTATATAATTTATAATTTGTATTATTATATTATATTACTGTTACACTAGTACAGCTTGAAAGCAGACCTCAATACAATGTTTGGAAAATTATAAGATAAAATTGTAAAACTAAATCAGTAAAAAGAATGACAATATTTAAAATAGAAAATTTAAAATTCAGCAGGCGCCAGGCAGCTGGCAGCGACCCGGTAATTAACTTTTCTCTCACAGGGAGCGCTTGCTGTATTTTCCAGCACCACCCGACCACGAAGAACTCAATTTGGTACTCACCTAATCATATACCGATGGGCAACTTGTATTATCTTAAATCGTGTTTTAGTCTAAGCAGTTAGCTGGACTTGGTAGAAAAAGTAATGGGTAAACCAAGGTCAAAACAATAATGGTATATTTGATTACTGACAAAAAAATACACGGTTTTCGTACCTCATGGATTTTTTGAGGCTCAATTTTTAAATGCATTTCCTACATGCAACTCGTGTAGGTACTAGGTACTCACCTGTGCGAGACTCCAATTATAATAATTTAAAGTATACCAAACTAACTTGTGAAAAGTTCAATTTTTTTAAATCAGAATACTATTCTATGAAATTAAAAAATTATGAAAAGTGTATACCGTATACCTAATGTTATTTTTTTAAAGAAAAAAGTAAAATATTAAAAAATAGTAAAAGGCATTATTTTTTCTTACAAACTGTTTTTTTGTATAGACTTTACGATCTGGTATAAACTACATAAAAAGGTATAAGCCAGCAATTTGTTGATTATTTAGGACCAACATATTTCAATTGTCTAAATATTAATTTTTAGAAGTATCTTAGAGTAAATAATAATATTAATGTAAATAAATCTTTATTCAATTTGTATCTACTGAATTGTAAATTGTTATTCCTATTTTGTCTTTAATTCATTTATTGAAGTGTATTTTTTTATATATGTTTTTTAGTGTATATATTGTAAGAAAATGACTCTACCTTCTATACACGCTTGCTTATAGACGGTTGATAAACTAAAATATTGTACATAAAAACTCATATACTTATATGGTACTTATCTTACGCTCTTGAGAGACAGACAACAAATGTTCGTGGAGCGTCCTCTTAAGGACAAGACCTATGTTTACCAGCTTTATTCAGAAAAATGTAATTTGAACGTAAAATTATATTATTGTACCATTAACTGATTAAATAACCAACCTAACTAGCATATAACATAAAATAATTGATAATAAATACTGAAGATTGCTCACTGGCCGGCCTGACTAGTAGTGATTATTACGGTACTGTCAACTACTAACCACATGTCCGCACTGATAAAATGTTTGACAAAACTTATATTTGTGTCTTGAATAGTTATTATCAGGGTTGTTATTTAATTATTCTTATAGGTATTTTACCTAAAATAAATATAAATGTCATAAAAATTATACATATCAAGATTATTCTTAGGATTTAAAAAATAATCTATACTCTAGAAAACAAAATAATAGGAATACTGTTACATTGATCATTCTACATTTTTATAAATATACAATTTATAAATCAATTTTAATAAATTAATATAAAATATTTTATAAATATGATAAATCTATCATCGATTAATTTAAATTGTGAAATATATTTAAAAACAGTATCTGAAGATCTAAGAAATCTAAAACATTATTTGATTTAAGCAACACAAAATTAAAAGTTAGTAAAAAGTCATAATACTTAGATTTTAGAGAGAATGCTATCCAATTCAAATAATATAAGACACTTGAACACAGATATTAGATTTAACCTATAACTCTAACGTCTGTTCTGTCTTCTTCAGTAGTTGTACATTGCCTTGTGGATTGCCGACCAAGCATTCATCTGTCATATCAATGAATAATCCAGTCTCAACCACTCCTTAAAATACAAACATGTATGTATAATAATGTAATGGTTCTTGCATACAATTAATACAACATACCTGGGATTAGTTTTAAGTAATTGTGGATGGATGACCAACAATATTTTTTTTCAGGAAAAACCCAATCCAATATGAAGTTACCGTTGTCTGTAACCAAAGGTCCCTAAAGATAAAAAAAAATTGAAAACTTTTGAATATATTATACATATTGACAGTATTTATTATTTTTAACTTACTGCTTTATCAGCAGACATCCTCAAAATTGCTTCACCTCCATACTTTCCTTCAATTTTTTGTTGAATCGGTTTACATGACATAGGTATTACCTCAATAGGTATACCTTTCTTCCATTTTTGACCCAAACGGTTTACCGCTTTACTTAACATCAATTGCAAAAATATGTAATAAATAAAAAATAAAAAAATATTTTTACTAAAATAAATATTATGCTTACGCTTCATCGGCAACAATTATTAATTTTTCAGAACATGATGCTACAATTTTTTCTTGAGTTAAACATCCTCCTCCACCTTTTATACAAGTCAAAGTACCAATTTCAATCTCATCGGCTCCATCAATTGTACAATCTATCTGATTGATCATACAAATTTAAACATGTTTTGATTGTTTCAATAATATCATGTTTTCACTTACTTTAGGGTGTGCGTCTAGGTTTCCCAATGTTAGTTTGTAATCGATAATCAGCTGACGTGCCTGATATGACGTTGGCACACAAACAACAGACAAATTCTCGTCTTTTGTTCTTTGTGCTATAGATTAAAATATAGCTAGACAGACTACAAAAATAAATACTACTCAAACAATAGAAAGGTTTTGATCTTACCCAATCGTTGAACACCATACACAATTGTCGAGCCGCTACCAATGCCCAGTATCATGCCGTCCTGAGGATAAATCACAAACAACAGTAATAGATTAATAATGAGAAATGACCACATGTGAAGTTATCTAAATGACATAATATTACTTTAACATGCTTATCGATGGCTTGGTGAGCGGCACACATTTTAGATATATCCACGCCTGCCGTCGAACAAGTTTTGGGTCCTACGGTAAAACTCACAGCACTCATTATGAAATACTTTCCGCACGACAATCGAAACTTATCAACGACAGAAATTATTGACTTGGATAGCACTAATTGCATCAATGAACGACGCAATGAAAATTCAGCCAACAGGTTTACAAGACACGAGTTTTGAACAGAAATTTTTTGAAACTGAAACGTTAATATTTTAAAAACTTGGATTACAATGTTATTGTTGATAACTAATGATAAGAAATGATAACGGCAATCGTAGATTACGTCCATTAATAATAATTATTCTTAATAGTTGATATTATTATACTACTCCAAAAACCTATGATGGTTCCGTAGTTCCATTACAATTTAGTATTTACAATATAATAATAATATAACATATATAGGTAAATATTAATAATGCATTATAATGTATAATATATAATTAATAAGCAACATTTTAATTTGGTAAACAGCATTCCCAGGAAGATTAAAGAGAATAAAACGCACTTGTTAGAAGACTTGAGACGGTGACAACAGACAAAATGGTTTTTTTATGATTTTGAACAAGAGTGTTGCAAAGGATAACAATTAAAAAACATGTATAATTAACGCTTCTAAATTTACTGAACTGTTTGTGATACACGAGCGTGCATAGTATTAAAATAAAACTCGTTGTAACATGTATTATGTATAAACAAAATATGTGGCCTTAAAAGTTAAAAGTATATAATATTCAGATAACCGCAAGACAACATTCGGACAACTAATCGAAGTAATTATAAAATAATTGGTACCTATATCATACTCGTATGTGTAGCGGGGGCAAATACTGAAGGTATCTAAATGAAATGACGCGCGCTCTACATCTACTTATCTACAGTTTAAAATTCAATGATAAAATTAAACGAGTGTAATGCAATTTTACTATATAATCACCGTAGACTGTAGGGTTAGTATAATATTCAATGATCAGATCATAATTTTTTTGTTGACAAATTCTTTTGAAGAAATTAAATGTACAGACATATTTTAATCGATAACATTATGATTTTTATACCAACATATTATATATTATAATGAGAAACAAAAAACAGTTTTAAACATATATTACCTATATGATGTGAATATGGCAATATGGCATGACATTGTCCAGTCACCTTGACCAATGGCTTATGCAGCATAAGTACAAGTGTACTAGATAGGTATATAGGTATTAGATACTCAGTCGATTTAAGAGGAAAAAATACAATTAGTTTTTAATTCAAGGCTGAGCGGAATGCTGGTCAACTTTTCTTTTGACTTAGTCGAGTCGAGTCGGTTTGAATGATTAACCCTAATAACTAGAGCCATCTTACCAGATATCCTTAAGATTATTTCATTTAAATCTAAAATTCAGTGACATTAATTGATTTGAACGTCATATTTATTTATAAATGTCCTTACCTACATTTAAAAGTACCAACTCCAAAGGCCAAAGCACTACCTATAGTAGTATAGTACCTACTACCTACCTATATTTTGTGACCAAACAAATTAAACTAAATTAATATTATTTATATCGGCGTTAAACATATATTATGAAATGCATTTAAGGTACTTTTTAGCAGGGACGGATTGGAACTTCGGACCAGCCCGGGAATATACCATTTTACCGGCCCACTATTTGTTGGGTGATTTGGGGGGGAGGGGGGTGATTTAGTGAGGTTTGTATAGGCAGATATAAGATACCTAGTTGTTATCAGATGTAAATATGTAATTTATAAATGAAAATCACTTTTCCTTTTTTTTTAAAGAGAACTCTCTTTTTGCAATTCTTTTATAATTTTATCTGAATAATAGTGTTTAATTTCTGTTTTTCCATGGCCATTAACATGAATGCTTCTAGTTTTGGATCCGCAAGTTGACTACGAAGTCTTGACTTAATGTTTTTTAAGAAAGAAAAAGATCTTTCATATGATATTTGGGTTGATGGTAGAGTAAGTACATATTTGTGTGCTAAAAATGAAATAAAAAAAATGATGTAAGGCTCTTAGAAGCCCTTGCTTCTAAAAGTAGTTTTTTTTTATCGAATTTTTTCAACTCCTCCTTTTTTATTGCAGTCTGATCCATCCATTTCCATTTTATTTTATAATTCACAACTTTTAGGTACTATTGTAATATAAAATATTTTATCAAATATTCCTAGTTAAGCACTTAGTAATTAAATTGTAAAATTAACCAAATTATGAACTGCTGACTGCCGAGTGCTGATAAGTGCTGAGGTTTTGAATGATGATTGATATTTTATATAAATAATATAATTTATAAATAAAAAATAAAAATATTCCTATTTAACGACTTGCATCATTCAAAGCCGTCATTACCCGCAACCCGCCGGCCCATCTGATCGACGACAACTCGAATAACCAATTATTTTACTGTCCACGGAGGTTGATTTTTTGTATAGTTATTGTTATTTCTAATATTTCTTATTGATAATTAATATTATTATTCAGTTCGGTTGTAGACATTATATTATTACAATTTACAACGCTTTACGTTATAATATTATAGACTGTTATTACGTAATATCACTAATAACATTGATTATAGAATGAATAATTTAAAATCAACGGTAATATTTATTAGGTTATATTTAAGTCTACTTTTCTGCTATTTACTTAGTACGCGGCCCATCGGGGATTTCCCGATTTCCCTATGGCCCAATCCGTCCCTGCTTTTTAGTGAGATGTCCCTAATGATCTCTGTTTTCCACGTCTGGTCCAGTGGTCTGTAATATAGTCCAGAGTCCTACTATTATTAATTGATACCTATATCAGTGTGTTATAAGTACATTTTAAGCTGAATAGGATGTCAGCGCACCATTTGTTTTCTCTCTCTAACCCATGCTCAACATAACAAATTTACGTGGAGCAGAACTAACCTTGTGTTGTTTTTAATATGAGAGTAAATTCACTTATTATCAAATTTTAATTAAGTACATTACCTGTGTCGCTATAGGTACATAGGCTATTTGATGTATTTCGATTTTTAGTTATATGAGCGTGTAAATTATTACGATTTAAAAATGCTTATAAATTGAAAACAAATTTAAATATCATATAAGCTAAAGTATCGACAAAGGCAATGTTCTTGACTTAACGTTGGATAATAGGTGCACATTATGTATAATATGACGTATGCTGTCATTGTATATCATGTATATACATGTATTAAATTATAATGTATTTATTATTAAATACTATTTATTAAAAAGGTAGTATTATATAAATAGTACTATTTTTTTAAGTAGAAAAAATTTAATAAAGTAAATACAAATATTATAAAAATTAAATTTTTTGAAATTGAAATTGCACTAATTCAGGTCCCATGAAATATTTTGCGAAGTAGTCTCTAACTTCTGTATCTTGAGTACGAGCACCCGTGTCGCTAACTTCTATATCATCCAAAATATTGGTCTCTGTATCTTCATTGTTGAAGCCATCCCTTCTTCGAAAAGAGTTGTGTAAAACACAACACAATTTAATTATTTCGTCCACAAAATCAGGCTCAACTTGTATTAGTGTATGTAAGACACACCACTTATTAGCCAGAACACCAAAGGTACACATTCTACTGTGCTTCTTGCCCTGTAGTTGAAACCTAACCTAACCAAACCAGCACTAGTATAGGTTTGCACGGTGTCTATACTGGCTAAAAATAATATTTCCATGATAACCTCGCCAAATAAATTTTAAGAAAAGCTTATCTTATTTGGTTAGTGTTTGAACATTAATTGTCTGATCTTGTCTAAGCGGTGTCGCATAATCTCTGTGTTTATGAATTCGTATATAATCAGCCACGTACGTAAATATTAAGTTTTTCATGTGATCTATATTATGACTTATATTTTTATATAAAATGCATCATAATTATTAATTTATTGACGTTCTATGTATTAATATCACAAGCCGGAATATTTTCTCCGAAAACCACAAAACGGACTTTAGTAAATAGTAAGTAGATAATTTTATATTAACATTATAGGGTATAAATGCAGTTTCGTTCCCATCAGTAGCTAAATGGACTGGCATTGATTTCTGTCCATCGGGACATACTCCTCCATGTGGATACAATTATTATTATTTAGTTTTATTCTGTTAAATTCAAAAATAATAGGTTTAGTAATAATTGCTTATGTATACAAATCTATAACTCCAGGTAGATAAAACGTTCAGCACTTTTGATCAATATATATTTTAATTACTTATTACTTATTAGTATAATTACATAAAATACATGCAGAGCGCAAAGAGAAAAATAATATTCAAGCTAATGCTTCTAAAAAATATATATTGTAATAAACTATAAATTAGAGCTTAAGACAGGACGCCCCCCTAAAAAATGACACCTTTGCCACTACCATAGGGGGCAACTGTACCTTCCTTATCCCCTCTCTTCTTCAGATTAAGCCAATGCGTCTGAAGTCTGAAGCAAATAATATTATAAATATACATCACCTAGCGTCCTAGCAAATAGTCATACCTTTAAGTACCTATATATTTATTTTTATTCAATCATCTATTATAATTTATAACCATATACTACGCACCTGGGATTAATACCTATCCATAATTTAGTTTTGAACTTAGTGTTAAATTTGAATTATATATTTTTAAATTTATAATAATTGTATTACCACATTTCTAACTATATCCTTTAATTGTAATCATAGTATTTCAAATTAACAGATGATACATTACTACAAGTATTGTAGTATAAATATTTCGAAATTGTTGTATTCAATCTATACAGTCTATATTGTTGTAATCACTAAAGTGGTGATTCATTTTTATTTAATTTATGTCAAATCATATAGTTTAAATTGACTTAATTATTCTATGACCATCTGATAGCTAGTTGAAAACAAATTAATAACAATTGTTTATCATCCAAAACTGTTTATAAAGTAATTATGTTAACTGTAATCACTTAATAATAATGATATCCATAATATCTAAGTGAATATAGTGTTTATTATATCTATAAAGTGAACAATTTGAACACATCTAGACAATAGTCCCAAACTCCCAACACCAATTAAGTTTCATGAAACCAAATGGCAAATTGACAATGTATTAATATATTTTTGTGAGAAGTGTCAAGTAAAAATTAATAATAATAAACAGGTATCCGAATTGCATGTTTAAAAAAAAAACTTCAATATATAAATATGTATGTAATAAAAAAAATAAAATATAAAAGTTAGTAAAAAAAAACTCAAAAAGTACAATATTCATATAAATAAATCTTATTTTAGGCCTTGATTGCAATGATTTACTACAATATACTCAAATTGTTGGAGTTAAATGCTCTACGCTTTGTCTTTAACGCTGATTTGTACAGACTAAAAGAACCCTCAACTTTCAAAAGATGTAATGGGTAAAAATTGCATATTTGCAATTTCTAAAGGAGTGAGCTCAACCATCGTAGTGTAATTATTATAAGTATTCCATTTATTTCACAATGGATATCTCTGATTTATTTTAGGCAGTTTTCAGTTTTAACCAGGGTTTTTATTGAATACACTATGCATTTTGTAATATATATGTATTATTGACAATATTTTCTTTGGGTCACAAACTCGTTAACCTCCATGAATATTATAAATTAAATTTTATATCTGGTATTATGTTGTACAAATACTTATGAAAACACGAAATTATCACAAAATTATATTATTACAGTTGACAAATATAATCTTATATTACCAAAATTGTGTATATGTATA